ATATAATCGCTTTTATTATAGTGACTATTTAATATATAATCACTTTGATTATGTAATATATAATCATTGTGATTATAGTGATCATTTTATATATAGTGATTTTTTATATATATAATCACTTTGATTATAGTGATTTGATGTATAATCACTTTGATTATAGGGATTATTTTGTATATAATCACTGTGATTACAAGCACTTTGATTATAGTGACTATATAATATATTATCACTGTGATTATAGTGACTATTTAATATATAATCACTTTGATTATAGTGATCATTTGATATATAATCACTGTGATTATCTAGTATATAATCATTGTGATTATAGTGATTATTTAATATGTAATAACTGTGATATAGTGATTAATATATAATCACTGTGATTATATTGATCATTTAATATATAATTACTTTGATTATAGTGATCATTTGATATATAATCACTGTGATTATAGTGATCATTTAATATATAATCACTTTGATTATAGTGATCATTTGATATAAAATCACAGTGATTATAACGATCATCTGATATATTATCACTGTAATTATAGTGATCATTTAATATATAATCACTTTGATTATAGTGACTATTTAATATATAATCACAGTGATTATAATGATCATCTGATATATTATCACTGTAATTATAGTGATCATTTAATATATTATCACTTTGATTATAGTGATCATTTGATATATAATCACTGTGATTATAGTGATCATTTAATATATAATCACTTTGATTATAGTGACTATTTAATATATAATCCCTTTGATAATAGTGATCATTTGATAAAAAATCACAGTGATTATAGTGATCATCTGATATATAATCACTTTGATTATAGTGATTATCTGATATATAATCACTTTGATTATAGTGATTATCTGATATATAATCACTTTGATTATAGTGATCATTTGATATATAATCACTGTGATTATTTATATAATCACTGTGATTATTTAATATATTATCATTGTGATTATAGTGATCATTTGTGATTATAGTGATCATTTAATATATAATCACTTTGATTATAGTGACTATTTAATATATAATCACTTTGATTATAGTGACTATTTAATATATAATCACTTTGATTATAGTGATCATCTGATATATAATTACTTTGATTATAGTGATCATTTGTTATAAAATCAGTGATTATAGTGATCATTTTATATATAATCACTGTGATTATTTAATATATAATCACTGTGATTATTTAATATATAATCACTGTGATTATTTAATATATTATCACTGTGATTATAGTGACTATTTAATATATAAGCACTTTGATTATAGTGATCATTTGATATATAATCACTGTGATTATAGTGATCATTTGATATATAATCACTGTGATTATAGTGATCATTTAATATATAATCACTTTGATTATAGTGACTATTTAATATATAATCACTTTGATTATAGTGATCATTTGATAAAAAATCACAGTGATTAAAGTGATCATTTGATATATAATCACTGTGATTATAGTGATCATTTAATATATAATCACTTTGATTATAGTGACTATTTAATATATAATCACTTTGATTATAGTGATCATTTGATAAAAAAAATCACAGTGATTATTGTGATCATCTGATATATAATCACTGTGATTATAGTGATCATTAAATATATAAGCACTTTGATTATAGTGATCATTAAATATATAAGCACTTTGATTATAGTGATCATTTAATATATAATCACTTTGATTATAGTGACTATTTAATATATAATCACTTTGATTATAGTGACTATTTAATATATAATCACTTTGATTATAGTGATCATTTGATAAAAAATCACAGTGATTATAGTGATCATCTGATATATAATCACTGTGATTATAGTGATCATTAAATATATAATCACTTTGATTTTTGATTATATAATCACTGTGATTATTTAATATATAATCACTGTGATTATAGTGCTTTTTTGATACATAATCATTTTGATTATAGTGATTATTTGATGTATAATCACTTTGATTATAGTGACTAATTAATATATAATCACTTTGATTATAGTGACTATTTAATATATAATCACTTTGATTATAGTGATCATTTGATGTATGATTACATTGATCAACAGAGATATTAACACTGTGATTATATTCATATATAATCACTGTCATTGTATACATAATTTTTCAGGAGATATAGTACCAAGTATATCAGATCTGAGACTAGGATCTTGTGATAATAAAAACAATGGTTTTGTCGGACTCATTAATTGGGTAAGTCTTTTATTACCAAAGTTTTGTGATCAAATGCTGGCCTGCAGAGCTATATTCTTTTATATCAGTGAGCCTGCAGAGTTCAGTTCTTTGATTTCGGTAAGCCTGCAGAGCTTATTCTTCTATTTCAATAACATCTTTCTTTTTCAGTTTAAACTATACCCATGCATACATCATTAGAGTTACATGATACCATCAAACCAATCGATTTTACCCCAACTGAGTATCAACTGTACAAACTACTGTCAAATCTGATGTCAAACAAACCAACTATAAACTCAGATATGAAACAACTCATCACTACCAACTGACAAACCCGATGCTAACAATACACAATACCAACTGTCAAACCAGGTATATAACATATCAGCTGTCAAACCATGTTTACCATACCGTACTGTCACACCCAATGTTATCTATCCAACTGTCAAACCTGATATAATTTATTTCTTAATTTAAATAAACTTATTTTTATATGTCAAAATGTGTTTACTGTTAACACTATGGCCAGCTGTCAAACCTACAAGCAACTGTCAACTATTTAACAAACTTACTATTGTAAAACTCACAGTTATCAAACTACTGTGAACTGTCAAACCTGTTGTTAAACATCAAACCTAGGGACAGCTGTCAAACCTACAAGTAACTGTGAAACCTACCCATTGTAAAATCTATTGTCATCTTTCAAACCATATGTCAAGTAACAAACTTAATATGTAAAACTCACAGTCAGATATCAAACTACTGTCAACTGTCAAACATCAAAAATATTGTCAAACTGTCAAACCTAGAAGCAACTGTTTATACTGAGTATAAAACCTGTTCTAAATTTTCAAACCAAGTTTCAACTATTAAACAAACTTAAACTTGTGAAACTCAGTTAACAAATTACCCATTTAACACCTTTTGTTACCTTTCAAACCTACCATCAATTTACAAAAGTACTATGAACTGTCAAACCTGTAAGCTGTCAAACCTGGCATACACCTTCAAATTTTATCAAACTGTCAAACCTATCAAGAATCAATTTCATTCATTAAAGGGATTGTAAAAAGGTTTTCTAATTTTTTGTGTATCGGGGACACTAATTGCATCAATTTGCACCATTTCAATTTTCAGTCAGACATCTGTGGTTCCTGCAAATACACAATAAATAAGTGTTTTATGACATCACTAATAAAAAATATGCTCGTATCAAACATGGCCTACATGATTAGTGGCGCCATCATTTCCATCAAACACTTTGTTTTAGTAGAATTGCAGGAACAACAGACGTCTGATTGAAAATTGGACTGGTGCAAATTAGGACTTTCAGTATCTCTGATTTTAAAAACGTCTTTACAATCCCTTTAAATTTGTTCAGCCCTTTCAAATGGTCCACTATAAACAGTCTGCAAAAGAACAAAAGCATAGTTATCAAAGGAAAACAGTCTACAACTACATCATAGTACCCATTTCCTGGATCTGATAAAATAAAACAAGAAATATATCTTTATTTACATAATATTAATAATAATAATAATAATAATATAGAGTAACAATTTAATATCACGATTATACCATAACCAAAGTTTTAGGCATTAGGACAAAAAATATCAGACAAAAAAATTTAACGAAACTAGTTTTATTCTGCACCCGATTGGGTTAATGAGGACTGGCAACGCCATAAAGTGTGCAATGAGGAAATTTTGCCACGCAGCAGCATTAGAATGCTTTTTCAATTTTGAACTGTCAGATCTTGACAGCCTGTAGCACAAAGGGCCTTGATTTATTGTTGAACGACTTAACACTTTTTTCATTTTTTTTTTTCACTGTCAGCCCCTTCCCACCTACATCACTGGTGGGTTGAAAAATCCAAAGGTATTATCTCGACCTCTGCTGGTATTGAACCCTGGACCTTCATGTTTCACTCAAAGTTTTACATCCTATATCCTGTTGGACTTATTGAATCGAAAAGGAAGTTTTACAGACCTTTTTGATAGCGATGCACTTTCAGCAAAATAATTCAATGTTTCCAAAATAACTTTTTAGATCTGTCCCTTTGGACACAATCAAAATTTGACGTCCAGTCAAAGAGGAAAATAGGATACTGTAAGAAAATAGCAATATTTATATACATTACAATGTCACACTAGTAAACCTTAACCCTGTTAACAAATAACTTATCTATTAAAGAGGCACTATCTCTTAGGTTGACCAAAAAATTGAAATTTTCAAACTAGGTTAAAATGAGTCTTTGTTCATCAGTGGACCTGGTGTCATAACTATACAACAGAATCTCTCTATAATCTAATAAATCTATAAATCTAAGTAATTTTGAAACATGCTTAGAACAGTGTTTCAATAATTATTTAGTTTAATGGATATATCATCTTATATAGAGATTCTATTCTTTAGTCATGACACCTGGTAAGTCTAACTGATGAATATATACACTTATTGACCAAGTTTTAGACTTGAAATTTTATGTCCATTACTAACATTTTACATTATAAGTACTTGTATTACATATTCTAGTCTTGTTTCCCAACCTATACAGGGGCCGTTAAAACTTAGTGTTTGATGACATCACAAAGTTTGTTTTATCATATAAGGCCTTTCAGGATGAGATACGTCATCAAATACATATTTTTAATGGCATTGCAGGTACCATAGATGTCTAATTGAAAATTGGAATGGTGCAAATTGATGCTATCAGTGTCCCTGATACATTTTAGAAAACCTCTTTACAATCCCTTTAGGACCCTGAACATATATTTAGGATAATAAAAAAAAAGGATCAATATTAAAGTAGCCAAGTTGAAATAAAATAAAAGAATTAATTATGAAATAATGACTTAATATTTATTAATGAAACATGACTTAAAGCAGCTGTACCTATTTTTTATGAGGTATTCAAGATGGCTATATACCTTTAAATTCGATCAATCCTATTTTAAACTGAAATCATATACAAATAAAATAGATCTGCGAACTCAGTAAAACTAAATATACATTACTGAAACATGATCAAAAATCATTGCACATTTTTATATTAAGTATCAATCTATTTAAGACGCCAATTTTGTTAGTTTTATGTTGTCGGTCTTCATTGTAATCTAACAAGATTTATACCAAGGTCATGTACTGATGATGTTTCAAGCTAACTTATAACAGACAATCAAGCGCCACTCTCCAGCTAATCATAATCACTTTTACAAGCGAGTGTTGGCAGTCTCATAATCTCATTAGTCATATCGCTCTACTTTGGGTTTTGCTATCCCACAATTCATTTAGACACAGATTCTGCATGTTGAGCTGTGATTGGTTGAAATGAATGTGAACAGTACACAAAATTGGTTGAAATCTTTTAAGATTACAATGGAGACCGACAAATCTTAACGAAATTGTGATCTAATTTTAATTAGATTGATAGAGTGCAAACCCCAGCACTAACATCTCAAGCCAGGAAATAATGGAGAGACTTAAGAGTCCAATGGACAAAAAACAGAGATTTAAAGAAAAATCTCAAAAGGTGAAATCAATATTTTGAAAACATATTTTAATTCAAGGTGTAACTTAAAGATACACTACCTCTTAGGATGACCAAAAAATTGAAATTTTTAAACTTGGTTAAAATGAGTCTTAGTTCATCAGTGAACCTGGTGTCATTTCTATACAACAAAATCTCTCTATAATCTAATAAATCTATAAAACTAAGTAATAATTCATTAAACTAAGTAATTAGTTTAAGAAGAGTTTTTCAATAATCATTTATTTAATGGATATATCGTGTTATACAGAGATTCTATTATTGAGTCAAGGCACCTGGTAAGTCCAACTGATGAATATATACACTTATTGACCAAGTTTGAGATTCTAAGAGGTAGTATCCTTTTAAAATATATACATATACATTTATATATATATATAAAGAATATAATCCAAGCATCAACTTATTTACAAGTATTTTTATATTTTCAAATTTCAAACTTCAAGGTTTTGCTTTATCTACAATGCATTTCTTATAAAAATATTTTTTTTTTTTTTTAGTGAATTGTAATCAAATTCCAATATTCAAAATTCAGAATTTTCACTTTTACAGTTTATTTGGCAAAAGGACAAAATTTGGGTGGCTGTAAGGGACAGATGCACCATTTTGTGGGGTTGATTTGAGTTTGAATATATATAAATAGTTTTCCGAAGTACTAGAAATGTATGAAAATTGCATAATTCCTTCAAAAAATATCTCCAAATATTTCCTATTTCTATATATGGCAGTGTCTCAAAAAAAGATGACTCGTCTTTTTAACATTTTTTAACATTCTGGACACACATGGATTTGAAGGCTCAAATTTTCGAAGGTGAGCTGTGAACACTACTACTGATTGGCTTTGCTAAAAAATTTATGTTTCTGAGGCTAAAAAATGGCGCACCTTTCGCAAAAATATTTATACAAAATGTAAAATTTAATAAACCAAGACATGGCAAGATTATTCTCCCTTGAAATTCTAATAAAAATTCCAAAACAAATGCGAGGTAAATTAATCAACTTATATTAAAGGAGTTTTTTCTATATTTGCTTAGATGTATTGGGAACACATCAATTTGTATCATTCCAATTTTCAATCAGACATCTGTGGTTCCTGAAACTCCGCTAAAACTAGCGCCATTGTCCTTATATATTATTAGCAGCTGTTGGTTTTAGAGAGATCGAAAAAATCGTTTCATAGTTAAAAGAATTAGGTCTGATTGTAAAATGTAATGGTGCATATTGATATCAGTGTCCCTACACACTAGGGAATTTAGAAAACCTCTTTACAATCCCTTTAAATTCTCTTATATTTCAACATTGACTTAAATCATAATAAAAAATAACTTAAAACAGAACCTAAAGTTTGTTTCTACTTCTATGTAAGTTTTTCAGACACTGATCTATTTCAGCCTGTGTCTCTTTTTAATTCTGACAACAGTGTATAGTATCAAACCACTGTAATCTGATTTTCTATTTAAAGGGACAGACTCTACATATGCAAATAGTCTTAAGAAGTTCTAGAAATGTACTAAATCGTGTAATTCCTTCAGAAATATCTCAAACTAGAAATTTCACTGTCTATTTCTATATATGTCTTTTCTATATGATAGTCTCAAAAGTCGTCTTTTTAATGTTTGGAAGCGGATTATTTTGGACACACATGGATTTTAAGGCTCAAATTTAACCAGTGAGCTGTGAACACTATTACTGATTGGCTTAGCTAAAAAATTTCTGTTTCTGAGACTAAAATACAATTGGTCAAACGGATGACGCCACTGTCCCTTTAATATCGACTGTAATCTGAACACACAAAATATATTCTTTTTATATCTTTTATGATTAGGCTTATCAAAAAATCTCTAATTGGAAAATAAAAACAACATATTTTCCAAAATAATATCAAAACTTTTTTCATCTTTTTTCAAAATATCACATTATAAAAACACTTCCAAAATTTCCTGAATTCTGATTGGCTACCATCAGTAACCGTTTTTAGTTGGCATGGTAATATTCTTTTTGAAACACGTCTGAGTAGGCAGGGGGAGGGGACGAGAGTTTATTTTTATGAAAGTTATTTGAAGTACTGGTGTAGGCTGGTGGTCCACTGTCAGATGGTGAATAGGCAGAGTGAGAAATTCCTGGGCCGCTTCTCGTGTGAACCTGATTTGTGTCTTCAGAGGACTGGAAATGAAAAATTTATATCAGAAAAATATAGGAAGCCTCATTAAAATGATTCATTTTTAATCAAATATCATTATTTTGGAGAAAATCTATAAAAATATCTAAATCTTGGGTTCGAAACCAAATTTGGGGTTGAAAAGCACCTTTCTTGGGGTCACGGAATAATCTAAAATCTTATTTGGTACATGAAAACCATTACAAATCATGAACATGATTGTTAGCTGTGTTGATGTTGAGCCACGCAATGCAAACCTTGTCACTGAATAAAAGGCACAACAATCACATAGATCCCTGGTTCCCAGGGGGGGTGTGGGACTAGGGTGTCAGGGTTGTGGCCAACTGGTGTAGGAGAAGAATTTATTTTGAATTGAGAGAGAACCTAAGATCATCACATGCCGGAAATGTGAATGAAACAAATTTTTGGGATGTGAAAGGTCCAGGTGATTGCTCCAAGGGTGTAAAGGCTGAGAAGGGTTGGGAACCACTGACAGATCAATAATTTACTGTCCATTATTGAACGATAAGGTAATATAAATGATAGTGATGTATGAAAAAAAATTAGAATAGAACAGGTTTTGACTTTGAGGGGTTGCAATCTGATGCCGGTGTCTGGCTTGAGGGAGGGAACTTCGTGCCAACATCTATAGTTTTGCTCGTTCCTACTTTATTAGCAAAGAACATTATCACTTGATGATGGAAAAAATGAAATGAATGCAGTTTTAGTTCTTACTCTTCTGCATCTAATTGGCTTAATGAAGACGAGCAGTACCATGCAGCGTGCAATGAGGTATATTGCCATGACAGGGGCATAAGCCTACCCTTTATCGATTTCCAACTGTGGAGGGATCTTTAATATGCACAGCCTGTAGCACCCTCCAACTGACAGACACTTTTCTTTCTTTCAGCCCCTCCTACTTACATCACTGACAGGGGGACAAATTCGAAGGTATTGTCTCGACCTATGCCCGAATTGAACACTGTACATTCACATTAGTGAGCAAGCGTCAAACTCACTGAGTTATTGCCCTTGACTTACTGTATGTATAAAGATAGGATCATCATGTAGTGGACTGTAGTTATATCTCCCGAATAACTACACCTTTACTGGGCCGATATCTCCATAAACACCTTGATAGAAGAGTAACAAAATAGACGAGTTATTGCCCTTGACTTACTGTATGTATAGAAATTGGATCATCATGTAGTGGACTGTAGTTATATCCCCCGCTTGTACTGATAATAACTACACCTTTACTGGGCCGATATCTCCATAAACACGAACACATTGATAACAGAATTAGAAAAAAACATAAACCAAACCTGAAAATAAATCAATATTCATTCAATTTTGCAAAACTGCATCACACAAAGTTATACACCTACATATTATTTTTTCATGAAGTGTACTTATAACTCTAGGCTTGTACATTTGAGAGAAGAAAACCACTCTACTTTCCATTAAATCAGTCATCAAGCGAAATAAACTGAAACATCTTTCGTTATTCCAGCCTCTGATAGCTATTTTGAAAGGGTAGGCTGGTGAAGAGACAGAAAAACTAGGCCCTGTTTTGTGGGAATTTCCGCACCTCAGAAGGGGTATTTTTTATTTTATCATGTATTAGTTTTAGAGGAATTGTAGGAACCACAGACGTCTGATTGAAAATTTGCTACACATTAAAATTCAGAAAACCTTTTTACAATCCCTTTAAAATTACTTACTAATTTAGTGTGATATTTTAGCATCTATAGTATATCAGCAGTCATTGCCTAACAAGTCAGTTCTAACGAGCTATCTAATTGACATTTAATTAACCAATTAATTATTAACTATCGTAGCTATACCATTCTGTTATGAAATGTTATCCATCAACATAATATCACAGTAACCAATTAGTCTAGCTCTATTTAGACATTTTTATTTTATCATGCCAATGTCTATTAACCCTTGTTACTGTCAAATATTTTGTATTTTTTCTTAAGCATGTGGTTCAAAAGCAATGGGATTTGGCCTGTTATTGAATCAAACCATCAGTGATACTTGTTTGTTAGAATTGTAGCATCATTATGACTTTTAATCATTTTAATTTAAGAATATTCGAATAGCAAAATGACGCCAAGTGCAAATTGATGCCATGTTAGAATTGACGTAAATTACTATGTGTAATCAAATTCCATGTCTTTCAAAAAAAAACACAAAAATTTGATGTAGATTTTCACGAGGTTCTAAAGAACAAACATGTTTTTCTTATTTTTTACCAATTATCACTGATATTGGAACCATGGTTGAATTATATCATCATCATTTTAGCCATAAACCAGTTTTTATTTAAACAGCCCCATCCCCTACTCACTATCCTAACAACCCTACTCGCAACCATAACAGCCCCACCCCTACCATAACAACCCCACCTCCTACCCTAACAGCCCCACCCCTAGAAATTTCAAAAACTCACCAAAAATACCAAAGCTCCCAAACTTTATATGATGAACAACACGTATTATAGCCACAGCAATATTCATCATCACTGCATCTAGAAAATAGAAAATAATATAGGTTATCTAGAAAGTTTAATAAAATCAGGTTATCTAGAAAATAGAAAATAATATAGGTTATCTAGAAAGTTTAATAAAATCAGGTTATCTAGAAAATAGAAAATAATATAGGTTATCTAGAAAGTTTAATAAAATCAGGTTATCTAGAAAATAGAAAATAATATAGGTAATCTAGACAGTTTAATAAAATCAGGTTATCTAGAAAATAGAAAATATTAAAGAATGGTTAAAATCTAGAAAGTTTCATAAAATCAGGTTATCTAGAATATAATATAGGTTAAAATCTAGAGAGGGTTTTTGTTATTAATTTATTCATTCCTATATAATCAATTCACAATTTAAATTCATTTCATTTAATTAATTCCACTGAAACTAAATGTTTGATGATGTCACTAATTGAATATATATTATATATAGCAGGTATCATATAGAAATGGTTTTTGTTATTAATTCATTTAAACCTATATAATCAATGCATAATTTAAATTGAAAAGAATTTAATTAAAATGAGTCACACATGATAATCAAAATGTAATATTTCTAAATTACCATGTATGCAAAACATAGGCTTGAGGCAAGTCTCGCAACAATACGTTCACCAGCAGCTTGATAAAGAGCTAAATATGAACTGTAAAACAAACTCTATATTGTAGCCTGTAGAGTGAGCACGAGCCAAAAAAGCAAAAAAACAAGATATCAGAGTTTTATGCGATATCTCTCAAGAAAATCATCGGATCCTCACCAAATTCAATAGTGCATATCTTCATAATGATATTGACACAAATATAAAAGATCAAAAGAATCTATAGAGAATTGTAGCCTGTAGAGTGAACACGAGGTAAATGTGAACGGACGGACCGACGGATGGACCAACAGGGATAACCACAATATACGCCCATACTTACGTGTGGGCGTATAAAAATCATATTCAGCAAGTGAGTTCTAAAGTCTAAGCTGTTCTCTACTGCAACGCTTCTTTGAAGGATGGCTCGATATTCACTACCAAAAAATATGCATGTATCACATAAGGCCCTTCGTGATTAGTGACCTCATCAAACACTAAGTTTTAGTGGAATTGCTAGAAACAGACATCCGATTGAAAATTGGAATAGTGCAAATTGATACTATCAGTGTCCCCAGTGCACATAAAGAATTTACAAAACCTCTTAACAATCCCTGTAACTGGGGTTTTATTGTGAAAACAAAATGGCAAATATCAGATTTTAAGTACTAGGAATGTAAGGAAATAGCTAAATCCTTCAAAAATACCTCAAACTGGGAATTTTACTTTCTATATATGTCTTTTCTATATATATCGCATAGTCTCAAGAAATGATGAGTCGTTCTTTCAACTGGATTTGAAAGCTCAAATTTTGATGGTGAGCTGTGAACACTATTACTGATTAGATTAGCAAAAATTCCTGTTTCTAAGACTAATTAAGGTTTCAAGTGGATGTATACGGTATAAAACAAAATATTCACTTACTTATCCCCCTCACAGTAATAACATGACACCTGGAAAACAAAACCAATAAGTTATTAGGCAAGTATTTAGGCGAGAGTCAGAATATATTTGAGTAAGAAAGTAGAAAAAGTTATCATGCACATCTAGAGACATTTCCAAACATCAACAAGCCCATTCTTTTTTCTTCATTAAATTTGATTGAAATATATGTCTTAAAAGCTCTTTAATAGATGAAATTGAACTTAATCAGCTGGTAATGTAAATCTGAAGCTGACTATACAAAGCTAAAATTGAGCTCTATCAGCTGGTAAAATAGAGATTTAGATGACTATACAAAATCTGAAATTGAGCTTGATCCAGACAGCTATTCAAAGCTTAAATTGAGCTCTATCATCTCATAAAAGAAATTCTTAGTGACTGTACAGATGAAATTGAGCTTTATCAGATGGTTAAGAAAATATTCAGAGGTATCTACAGATAGTTAAAATTGAGCTCTATCATCTGAGAAAAGAAATACTAAGTGATTATACAGACAGCTGAAATTAAGCTCTATCATCTGGTTAAGAAAATATTCAGTGGTTATACAGACTACTGAAATTGAGTTGTATCAGCTGGTTTAGAAAATATTCAGACTATACAGATATGTGAAATTGGGCTTAAATTAATTAGAAAAATATCAAGACAACTATATGTGTATCTAAATTATTTCATATCCTTCAGTTAGGAATTTCTTTCAATATGGTGCAATAACTTGGTTTTTAGGGTAATTTCATGTCAAATTTCTGATATCTGTGTCCAGAGGACCCGAAAATGAAAATAACCAATATAAATACGGAATGAATTTTTCTAAAAATATAGGATAAGATACAGAAGACATGACTTTCATCTGATTTTCATAGACATAGGAAACAGTCCTACTAAATTTCAGTATACCATATTTCTTAGTAGAACACAAAAGGCCTATTTTTTACTGACACTATATAATATTTCATAACAGCAGTAGACAACCATAATCTTTTTCAAAAAACAGTCCTAATCGTGATCAGATAGATTAGGCTGGGTATTTTTATAACCTGTACATCTGGTAGACATTCACTTCTCTTTCTTGGAGGTTTCTTTCTATGATATCTGAGCTCTATATTTAGAAACAGCTGAGTATGGGGAAAATTGGGTAACATTTTTTCTACGTAAATCTACAAAGAATGGGTCAATTTCGCAAAAGATTCGGTTCAAAGTTTTTGGTTTACTTAAGTATGCAAAGTTATATGGGTGACATTCCCAAAAACTATTTCAAAATGAACAAATTTACCTGTTTTATAAGGATTGACGAGACTAAAACGGTTCCAATTGTTTTCGCTTCCATCTTTGTTGACCTATAACCCATCAATATGACCAAAAGTCAGTGTCCCCGAACAGCACAAAAACTATAATAGAACGTGCTCCGAACTGACAACTGTTTTCGCTCATATACAGCCTAGATCATTGAACCATGTCGGTTTGGTCTTAACATTAATCAGCAAAGTTGTTTTTAGCCGATTAGTAATCGCTAATTAGAAATTAACAGTCGTATTCCAACATGCACGTCAGACTACTGGAACAGCTAATTCACCGGATGTAAATAATCGTCACGAAAAAAGACAGAATTTGATTGGCTGAAAAAACAACCACCTGTTTTAGTCTTCGGCAATTTACGACAAGTTACGACAATTTCCGCAATATTCCGCAATTTTACGGAAAAATTCCGTAATTACATAATTTAAAGGGACATGCTCAAGTAACTAATTTCCACTTCATATTAGTGATGAATTTTTTCAATTGACCCTTTGAATCTCATGAATTTCATCATCATCTTTCATCATCATCTTGGGCTTATAGAAAAGTATGCGGAACATTTCCAGGGTGGGAGAAAAAAGGAGAGGGGAATTTTTCAAAGGGAGGAGGTAGAGGAGTACTTGATCCTGTACAGTTGCTGTGTTGCGTAATAACCAAAACTACCAAAAGTATGCTAAAATCAATGTTTATAGCCGTTTACAATTAAAGGTTAGAGGTTCGTTATCCGTTTGACGAATCGGACTTAGCTTCAGAAACATGATATTTTCTGCTTAGCGAATCATAAATAGTATTCACAGCCCACCGTCGAAATTTGAGCCTTCATATCCACATGTATCTAGCATTATTCGCGTTTGAAAGTTGAAATGACGACTCGTCTTTTCTTAAAACTCTTATATAGAAAAGACAAGGGTCTATAACATAGAATAACAAAGAGAAATCCTTTTGAGGTATTATTGAAGGAATCATGCGCTTTTCGTACATTTCTGATACTTCTGAAAACTATTTATGTATACATGTATTCAAGACCAAAATCAACTCCCGAAAATGGCGATCTGTCGCTTTAAATTGACTTATTGAAGACTCTTACGCGAATATGCATGAACATGCACGCACGAGTTACATATAAATACCTTTAATAACCCAATAACCCTGAATAATAATAGTCTAATATTATAAACGTCTTGTGTTAACACACAGCACGATATACTCTCACCAATATCGACAGTCGACTCACAATATATCGACAGTCTTCCTTCTCTTCATATCAACATCGTGAGTTATTTTTGGTTTTCCTAATTAAGACTACAGAACTATATATACATACTACAATGGTAGAAGCCTGGTGGAGATACAGGTAAACAGAGCAATGGAGATGTATTATATATATTTAGCCTTGTCCTGGATACCGTTCATCCCGGGGGTAAGTTCGCTAGCTTACAGTACATATTATTCCTGGTTATTCCAGTATTCTAAGAATGGTGCCATGAATATCAGAAAATCAATACATTGCTATTTATACCGTTATAAAACCTTATCTCATCGGCATCGAACTTTCACCATAATCAATGTTTCTTGTATGATTAACCAACAACTGGTGTGTGTGTGTGGTTGTGGGTGGTTGGTGTGGGGGGAGGGGGGTGTCAGTCACAGGGGTAGGGATGTTGAAACAAGAGAATATTGAATAATCACACAAGGCTGAACTCAATAGATAGTTTACAGATGCACAACATTTTTGCTGGAGTTTGATGCATGTTTCCCTCCCAACCTCCGCGTTATTTTAACTAGACTAATGCCTGTCAGGTCACCCCTCTATGCTGGACTAGGACAGGGGCATTCAACCCTAGGGGGTAATAGTAAGGATTTATCATGGGATAATGAGGCGCTTTGTTGTCTTGCCTAGCATAAAGTTTTATGACAAATATAATTTTAGTCGTTCTATTCAGTCAGCCTATATTCTCCAGCATGTAAAAGATTTATGGAGGGAAGGGGAAATAGTAAGGATTTACAGAGGGAAGGGGGTAATAGTAAGGATTTATAGGGGGAAGGGGAAAATAGTAACGATTTATAGAGGGAAGTGGGTAATAGTAAGAATTTATAGATGGAAGGGGGTAATAGTAAGGATTTATAGATGGAAGGGGGTAATAGTAAGGATTTATAGGGGGAAGGGGAAAATAGTAACGATTTATAGAGGGAAGTGGGTAATAGTAAGGATTTATAGGGGGGAGGGGGTAATAGTAACGATTTTATAAGGGGAAGGGGGTAATAGTAAGGATTTTTAGGAGGAAGAAGGGTAATAGTAAGGATTTATAGGGGGAAGAGAGGTAATAGTAAGGATTTGGGACGGGGTAATAGTAAGGATTTATGGGGTACCGGGTAATAGTAAGGATTTATAGAGGTAAGGGGATAATAGTAAGGATTTATAGGGGGATGAGAGGTAATAGTAAGGATTTGGGACGGGGTAAAAGTAAGGGTTTATAGGGGAAGGAGGATAATAGTAAGGATTGTTTGTTAAGTATACATGTACTTCCTTTTGTGTTAAGGGTTGCAAACAGAACAAATGGTCGGGTGGGTGAAGTTGAATCGGGTGGCAGAGACCGAGAGGCGTGGGAGAAGCCGATGGAGTAGGGAGAATTCAAGAGGGATAATAGAGACATAGATAGGTGGGAGAAGCCGAGAGGAGTGGTAGAGACAGAGAGAGGTGTGAGAAGCCGAGATGGATGGTAGAGACGTAGATAGGTGGGAGAAGTCGACAGACGTGGGGGGGACATAGATAGGTGGGAGAATTCAGGAGATGAAGGGGAGACATAGATAGGTGGGAGAAGTCGAGAGACGTAGGGGAGACATAGAAAGGTGGGAGAAGTCGAGAGCGGTGGCAGTAACCTGGATAGGTGGGAGAGGTCGAGAGACGTGGTGGAGACACAGAAGTGTGAGAAGTCGAGAGGGGTGCCAGAGGCATAGATAAGTGGGAGAAGTCGAGAGGGGTAGTAGAGATCTAGATAGGTGGGAGAAGTCGAGAGACGTGGGGGAGACCTAGATAGATGGGAGAAATCGAGAGGGGTGGTAGAGACCTAGATAGATGGGAGAAGTCGAGAGACGTGGAAGAGACATAGAAAAGTGGGAGAAATCTAGAGACGTGGTAGAGACATATAGGGGTGGGAGAAGTCGAGAGGGATGGTAGAGGCATATAGGGGTTGAAGAAGTCGAGAGACGTGGGGGAGACTTAGACAGGTGGGATAAGTCAAGAGGGGTGGCAGCAGGCCCGTAACCAGCCCAATGTGCCGAGAGGGGTAGCCGCATTTGCATGGGGGGGCTGGGGTTTAGGGGCAAAATAGCTAATGGTGGCTTCAATTGAGAATTTGCTCTAATTTTGCAGGGGTGGGGCAAATGTATTTCCTTAGATACGGGCGTGGGTGGCAGTGACGTGTGAGAAGTTGAGTGGTAGGTTAAATGGGACAGAGGAGACATAGAGACGTAGGAGAAGCCGAGAGAGGTGGGGGGATTTGGGGAGATATAGGGGGAGGGGACGAAAGTTACCCTGACTATTAGTGGACCTTTAATAAATCGTTGCGGTTACAAATCTGGATAAAATCAAACAAACGTCATTTCCATAAGAGAAGAAGGTTTGTAGTGATATAGTTCACATTTATAAAAATATAAACACCTATACGTGACAGACCGCACGAATTGAGGACTGTCTTGAGTATGTAGTGTCTATTGGTTTGACTTGAGATAATGTAAAGCTATTTATTGGACAATAGATTCAATTGAAAAATAGGATATATAATATTCTATAACGTAATTTTGTAAATTGATAATCGTTCTTTATTCAGTACACCTCAACAGTAAGCCTAGTAACGTAATCATTTAACTTATTTTATATCAAAGGGATTGTAAAGGGGATTTGTAAGTTTTTTAAGTGTATCGGGGATACTTATAGCATCAATTTATACGATTTCAAATTTCAACCATACGTTAGTGTTTTCTGCAATTCCACTAAAACGAAGTGTTTGATGAGGTCACTTATGAGCTTTATGTGATAAAGCATATTGGCGATTAGTGATGTCATCAACCACTTATTTTTAAGAGTATTGCAAGAATCACAGATGTCTGATTGAAAATTGGAATGGTGTAAATTGATACTATCAGTGTCCCCGAAACACATACAAATTTTATATAACCTCTTTACAATCCCTTTAAAGAAAAAAGGCCTACAACAGGTCATATTTATCCTATCAACCTTGCACTGAAAATACTGGTAAGATCGCATCTTTAACGTAGGCCTAATAGTATTTCTGTCGACTTGCCAATTCTCTTATTATTGACGAATTATGTTGAATAATAATAATACACTGTTCAATTTGAAAATACTTATATTAGTCATCTTCGTAGTGTCAAGGTATATAATATATTCTTATATAGGCCATTAAAGGGATAGTAAAGAGATTTCCTTAAAATTTTATGTATATCGGGGACAATTGTAGCATATATTTTAACCATTCCAATTGATTCCTACAATTCCATTAAAAACATGTGTTCGATGACGTCACTAATCGAAAAATTAGCTTTTTTAAATGTAAACCCTGTATCGGGGACACCGATAGCATATATTTGAAATAATTGGTTCCTGCAATTCCATTAAAATTAAGTGTTTGATGACGTCATTATTCGAAAATATACTTTGTCACATAAAGTCCTTCGTGAATAGTGACGTAATCACGTAATTTAGTGGAATTACAGGAACCACAGACGTCTGATTGAAAATTGGAATTGTGCAAATTGATGCTATTAGTGTCCCCGATACACATAAAATTTTCATAAAAAACCTCTTTACAATCTCCTTAACTGTGTTTTTGTGATGATTACAAAAGTGGCAAATATAGGCTTAAATTCTAAAAATTTAGAAAACCTCTTTACAGTCCCTTTAAAGCAGTATCTTCACTAATGTTAATGTTATTGTTATCAAAATATGTGTCAAATATCTAAAAATTCAAAAAGATTATAATCATATATATTATATGAAATTATTTATTAACTGAAGTAATAGCTGTTTATATCGTATTGAAATGGTGAATGGTGATATATTTATTTTAGTTATACCCTGGTTGACGATACCTAGTTGATATTATTATGTTAAATATTTTATTTCTGCAGGTTCACGGTAAAATTTGTACATATCTCAACCGATTTGGTAATTTTAAAACCTTCAGGTAAGTCAATTTATCTATGTTTTAGAAGCATTGTCAGGAATTCTGTTGAAGCCAAAATGAACGACTTGATAGATAAACCTTGTCATTACTCCAAGGATAAACGTTTAAAGGTAGGCTATACCTCTTAGAATGGACATAAAATTTAAAGTCTCAAACTTAATCAATAAGTGTATATATTCACCAGTTAGACTTACAGGTGTCATAAGTAAAGAATAGAATCTCAATATAACACGATATATCCATTAAACTAAATAAGTATTGAAATACGCTTTTAAGCCTATTTCTTTACGTTTCAACGATTGGGACTACCGACATGATTGTTTACATAGGAGACCCTCTATTTGATACAATGACGTCAATAAATAACGACGTCATTGGTTATAATTACTACGCCTAATGTTTTGGTGATGAGGCAATGGCGTTTATGGTGATATAAACGCCACACGAATTTGTATTAGACCAATGGAAAAATAATAGCTAATGTAAATATTAGATTATAGAGAGACTCTGTTATATTGTTTTGACACCAGGTAAGTCCACTGATGAACAAAGACCAAGTTTAAAAATTCCATTTTTTTGGTCTTCCTAAGAGGTAGTATACCTTTAAGCTAAACACGGGGCCTCGAAATGATATTTATAAACTATGATAATGTTCACAACTTGCAAGTTATGGTCCGGTGAAGCATTGCAAAAGAATATTAGACGATTTTATCAAGGCAGAGGAGACAAACTATAATATTATTATTACCTCAAAATGCAATAGATTGTCTTCTTAAAGGGATTGTAAAGAGATTTTCTCAATTTTTATAGAGAAAGTGGACACCATTCAAAGAGTTTGATGACGTCACTAATTGTGATAAAGAATGCGATTATTGACGTCATCAAGTATTAGTTCTAGTTGAATTGAAGAAACCACAGACGTTTGATCGAAGACCGGAATGGTGCAAATTGATGTCAACAGTGTCCCCGAAACACATATTTTTTTTTTTTAAAAAAACCATCTCTAGAATCCCTTTAACTTTGTTTTTGTGATAATTACAAAGTGCAAAAATTGGCTATAACGTACTTCTTCTTATACCTTGACTGCAATAGCCACCTTTTAATATCCCGCAAGTCTTAAGTAACGCGAATCAAATTTTAATTTCCAACTTCCGTCATCTTACGAATTTCGTACTTATACCTTGACTGCAATAGACACCATTCTTGTATCACGCAAGTTTGTACATACAGCGATTTGATTGGATAGTACATTTGCGAATACAGCCAACCATAGCCCTCGATATACAATAATATTTACAGTCAATCTGTCGAGGGCTACCATTGGTTGTACAATCCTATCAAATTGTAGCATCCCGTGATACAAGGAAGGTGGCTAGAAAAGGAGTCAAGGTGTAAGACGAAGTTCGCAATATGTTGATCATTATGATAACATGTATACATTTTGATATAGTTGTATTGGCACACAAAGATGCTGTAGAAACGAATGTTGTGGGACGATGTATGAATTCTACAGACTCTGGTATTTCTGGTACGTGGAATATTAAAGTATATTGGTTACTAAGTCTGGGGTTTATGGTTACGAATACTTATATGGTTACATACTTACATGGTTATTTAGGTCTGGAAATAGCACCACTCCACCTGACTGAAATTGACGTTATTCCATCTGGTGAATTATAGTGGCATTCCCTTTTATCCCCACTTTTGTACCAAAATATGTTTCAGAATGCACCAAATCAATCCAATTTTCGCAAATTTTCTTGGGAGAACTCTCTCCAAACGTTCCATGAGGGGCTTGCAACTATGACGCCGCCACAGAGTTGCTGCATTTTGAATTTCATCCTCAACAGTTTTGTCTCCACTGTTTGTACCCCCCAGTCTCAGGAGGCTGACGCCGCCACTGCATACTACGCTCGTCCTTTCAAAAGTGATCTACAGAAATTCAAAAATAAATTTGACTTGAAACAGTATTATTAATTCTGATGAAAGGGGTTGAGGTGTTGAATGATTGAGTGAACTCAGGTTGATAAACTAATATCGACTATGACTGTGAACACTATTACTGAATAGCTCAGCTAATAAATTCCCGCTTCTGAGACTAAGGTACGATTGGTCAAACGGATGGCGAACTTTAATATCGTTTTCATTTATTTTTAAGGTTCGCCTCGTTTCTTTTGTTAGTTTTATTTGGAGGTTTATCTTACCTGGCTTGGCGACGGTGGATCAATCAACAAACAACATGTCGCTATCCTTCCGCCCCAACACATCATCGTCTCATTCTAGGTGAGTCCACATAGTCTTCTATTTACACAACGTTTCCGTACAAATTAAATTTTCTATTTACACAACGTTGCATTTTTTAGTTTCATGTTGTTTTTGCACAACGTTTTAGTACAAATTACATCTCCTACTTACTTATCATTTCAGTGCCAATTACATTTTCAAATTACACAACGTTTCCGTACAAATTATATTTTCTATTTACACAACGTTTCCGAACAATTTACATTTTCTATTTACACAACGTTTCAGTAAAAATTCCATCTTCTATTTACACAACGTTTCAGTAAATTTACACAACACAACACAAAATATATCTTCTATTGACACAACACAGTACAAAATATATCTTCTATTTACACAACACAGTACAAAATATATCTTCTATTAACACAACACAGTACATAATATATCTTCTATTGACACAACACAGTACAAAATATATCTTCTATTGACACAACACAGTACAAAATATATCTTCTATTGACACAACACAGTTCAAAATATATCTTCTATTGACACAACACAGTACAAAATATATCTTCTATTGACACAACACAGTACAAAATATATCTTCTATTGACACAACACAGTACAAAATATATCTTCTATTTACATAACACAGTACAAAATATATCTTCTATTTACACAACACAGTACAAAATATATCTTCTATTTACACAACACAGTACAAAATATATCTTCTATTTACACAACACAGTACAAAATATATCTTCTATTTACACAACACAGTACAAAATATATCTTCTATTTACACAACACAGTACAAAATATATCTTCTATTTACACAACACAGTACAAAATATATCTTCTTTTGACACAACACAGTACAAAATATATCTTCTATTTAAACAACACAGTACAAAATATATCCTCTATTTACATAACACAGTACAAATTATATCCTCTATTTAAACAACACAGTACAAAATATATATTCTATTGACACAACACAGTACAAAATATATCTTCTATTTACACAACACAGTACAAAATATATCTTCTATTTACACAACACAGTACAAAATATATCTTCTATAGACACAACACAGTACAAAAATATATCTTCTTTTGACACAACACAGTACAAAATATATCTTCTTTTGAAACAACACAGTACAAAATATATCTTCTTTTGACACAACACAGTACAAAATATATCTTCTATGTACACAACACAGTACAAAATATATCTTCTTTTGACACAACACAGTACAAAATATATCTTCTTTTGACACAACACAGTACAAAATATATCTTCTATTTACACAACACAGTACAAAATATATCTTCTATTTACATAACACAGTACAAAATATATCTTCTATTAATACAACACAGTACAAAATATATCTTCTTTTGACACAACACAGTACAAAATATATCTTCTATTGACACAACACAGTACAAAATATATATTTACACAACACAGTACACAATATATCTTCTATTTACACAACACAGTACAAAATATATCTTCTTTTGAAACAACACAGTACAAAATATATCTTCTTTTGACACAACACAGTACAAAATATATCTTCTATTGACACAACACAGTACAAAATATATCTTCTTTTGACACAACACAGTACAAAATATATCTTCTTTTGACACAACACAGTACAAAATATATCTTCTATTGACACAACACAGTACAAATAAAAACTTCTATTTACATCTACAATGACAATGCAACGTCAAGAATAACACTACAGACAAAAATATAATAAAATTTCATAAAATCAATACAGATGTTTGAATTTCTCAGGCTATCCTACACGACTATAATTTTGTAATTAATTGTTTTATATAAAAAAAAATTTATAGTACATAATAATATACAGATACACGTCCCCTTTCGACTATTATTTTTTCATTAAAGGAATACTACCTCTTAGAATGGACATAAATTTTAAATCTCAAACTTGGTCAATAAGAGTATTATATTCATCAGTTAGACTTACCAGGTACCATGACTAAAGAATAGAATCTCTATATAACACGATATATCCATTAAACTAAATAATAATTGAAACACGTTTCTAAACATGTTTCAAAAATATTTAGTTTAATGTTAAAATGACGCCTCGTCTTTTCTTGAGACTCTGATATATATAGAAAAGTAAAATTCCTAGTTGGAAGTATTCTTAACCGAATTTTCATACATTCTAGCACTTTTTATAGTACTATTTACATTCATGACTAAAATCAACCCCCCAAAAATGCTGCACTGTACCTCTTAGAATGGACATAAAATTTTAAATCTCAAACTTGGTCAATAAGAGTATATATAAATCAGTTGGACTTACCAGGTACCATGACTAAAGAATAGAATCTCTATATAAGACGATATATCTATTAAACTAAATAATTATTGANATACACTTCTAAGCATGTTTCANAATTACTTAGTTTAATGAATTATTACTTAGTTTTA